AACTATTTATATATTTAAAAATAATAAAAAAATTAAAATTAAAATTTCAAAAAAATTTAAACAATTTAAATCAACTAATTAATAATAATAATTTTTAAAAAATAAAAAAATAATATTTTTTATTGAAATCAAAAATAAGTAGTTTATTAAATTAATTTTTTTAAAATATATATATTTAAAACTATTTTATTTGATATATATTAATAATAATTTAAGTATTTAATAAGATTATTTTTAGATCTGTGAATCTATAGTGTAGTGGTTAATACTCCACAGGTCAGATTACAAGATACCAGTTCAATTCCAGGTAAAGTCAGTTGAACTAAATTAAAAATGGTATCTGGAACCATAACCTGTTAAGCACTGTTTTTTATGGAAAGTTATTCACACGCTGATCCAGTAGAATATTGGGATTGTAATCTCCAAGAAAGGTGTGTGGTGGGATGATTGTCCGGAAGTAGTCTGATAATTATCTGACAGTAACCTAAAACCAATTATACATTTGGATGTACAGACTGGGTTGTACTCTATCTTAACCAACCCGAGCGATATTTTCATTCTGTCAGCTTCTGAATAAGGCAACTTTGAAGGAACACACTCTCCTGGCATTGATGTACTGTGTGACATGGATCCCTAATAGCTTACCACTTCTGTAGAAGTTGTGTTCTGCTTGGTATTTATGCCTCTAGATTTGGCAGTCAATGCCAATTAGCCCTTTTGAATATGTCTACTAGAAGACAGTGACCTTGAGAGCATGGTGATCACACTAGTCTTGCCTATATGGTCCCTGTAGATTCGCGCCCCAATTGGTCAAAAAAGACCCCTAGGTTTGGTAGCTGATAGCCAACCAGAGAATAAAAAGATTTGGAGCATTCACTAGGGAGTGCAGACCAACATAAAGACCTTCTGCCATAATAACAATATCAGAAAAGTATGGTGCAATAAGTTACTTATAAGGATAACTAGCAGTACCTCCATTGTTCCTGCACAAAAATTGGACCAGTAGGTTAGGTAGTTTAAACTAGTGGTAGGAATTCTTCTTCTAGATAGGTCCCTTCGAAGATGTGAAAAAATACTTCAAGAGTGTCAAATTAACATTAACAGGCAAAACCAGTTAATAGGCTAGCATTAAGCTGTAGTGTAACTATTACAGAAGATGTTTGATGTATTGCAACAGATATATAATATTAATAAAGACTTGCATCTAATGTTATTCAACTTAAAAAAAAAATAATAAAATTATTGTAACAAATCTATAGACGTCCCAATTTTTTTCGAAAAGTCAGATAACAATCTCTTAAATAATCTTAAGAGACTATAAGTATTTTGATGAGAGGAACATCTTTTATTAATGGTCTAAAAAGACATTGTCAACACTGATTTCTTAATAATAAAAAATTTAGACTTTTGACCAAAGAACACTAATGATTAGACTAAAACACATATCCAAAGTCATATGACATCCGCCGATCCCAAAGCTCCTGAGTGACACGAAACCTGAAACTTATAGTGATTATTAATTTAACATGATTTCAATAATTAATATGTATTATCAATTAGTAATTGATATCAAGAGGTTATAGAATATTATTAATGTGTTTGATTAATATTATCATTTATTTATTATCTTATTTTATTTTATTTTTCTTTAATAATTCATATGATCTCTAGGAGAATCACTAAAATTATATGTATTTTATTCTTTACATATTTTATTTATTTATATTGGGAAAATATGTATTTAAAGGCTGTATTTTTCCTTTAATTATCTTTAAAGTTGTCTGCTCCACTTTCCATTAATAAAGTTTTTCTTTAATAATGATAAACTATTAATGATCAACATGTTTCTTTATTTAAACCATTACAATTATTTTTAATTAATTAATAATAAAATTAATATAAATCAATAACAAATATGTAATATATTAATTTTTTTAATATTTATTAATTATAATTTAATATACAAAATTCAATAAAATTTTAAAAATAAAAAAATAAAAAAACTCTTTCTTAATCATGTCCATTTTGCTAAAAAAATTTCTTTTATAGTAATTTTAAGCAAGAAAAAATGTTTTACTCTCTTTATCGCAAGTAAGCCTCAGCTTAAAAACTCAAGAACCTTCAAAACAACTGGTGCAGTAGGATGGGACCTCTGGTCAAAGTCTATTCAAGTTTGGGAGTCTTGTTTATTCTTTGGTTGCATGGGGAAAGACCCATGACAGTTCTTTATTCTTTTGTTCTCTTGCACACTTTTTTACCCCTATTTTATCATAAAAACTATCTACATTATCATTATCATACTCATTAAATCAAATACTTTCCAAAACACATACTCAAACAAAGTTATTGAGTCTACTGTTTGTTTTAATACAACCTTTATACACAACTCTATCATAGTGACATTTACTGTACCACTTCAAATCTCCAAAATTTTTTATTCAAAAAACCAAAATCAGTTTATCTCCTTCAGATGATTAGCACTCTCCAATCATCCAATAAGATTTCATTTAAAAATAAAAACAAAAACCAAACTTGCTTAAACCAGTATTGTATCACAATAACAATAATCATAACAATAACATCAATCACATCACTATTGACAACTATAACAACAAATAATATTACATATACTCTACTATCTATGGTAACTGAGGAGCTGGAGAGATAAGACAATGAGCCTGTCTAAGAGTTCTCTTGAGGAAATAATTGGTTTTCTACTTATAGATTTTATAGTTTACTTCACTTAGTTTTAGTTTTAGTTACATTTATTTTTTTTTCTCTTTCAATTACTATAATTATAAATTTATAAAAAGACTTCACAAAATTTTCTGAGTAGATAAGTGCATTATAGAAATTGCCAAAATGAGTGATCAACTCTCAATCTTGTTATTTCTTTTATTTTCTTTATTTCTTTTATTTCTATTATTTCTTTTATTTCTTTTATTTTCTTTTGCTGTAAGAAAAAGTATAAAAACAATATAAGGAAATATAGTAGAAAAGAAAGAAATGAAAAAATTAGTTAATAAAAGAGTGTTAAAATTAAATTACTTATCACATTGTTCTGACTAATAAAATCTCCCCAAATCATATAAACTCACCAAATCTATGTCTCTTTCTGCCTTTAATCTCCCCTGTTATAACAGATACCCCTTCAAAGTGTCGCAAAGTCTGGGATTTTGTCATTACTGCTGATAGACCCCTGACCCATGATAATATATATATTTTTTCTAACTTTAAGTTTTAATTTTTTATTTAAAATCATGTCACAGTGATATTATTCTAAAGTCAAAATTATTTTTATACTAAGCCAACATTCTTTAAATACTAATATAGCAACTTTTAATACCAAATAAGGAATGTTGAATATTAATTTGTTGACTATCAAAAAGAACACTACAGTTTTTCTAATGATTGCCTCAAAATTGAATTTACATTTTATTATATTAAATAGGATTTATGAGAAATAATGAGGAAAAATTCGATTGATATAATATTTTGTCTTGCATATTTCTAAAATAAAAAATGAATCTATGCAATTATAATGAGTTGATTCTTCTTATTCAATGTGAAACATTCAATTCTTCTGCTTATTGCTAAATTCCTGTTCCAAATGAAAGGTCTATCATCCTATGTCATTAATTCGGAGAATTTATTGTAAACAGAAAGTCTTTGATTATATAATAAACAACCAATTAAAGCTTTTATTTTTTTTTGATTTTGCGACTAGATCCTGAAAAAGTAAAGTGCTTATTTTACTTTATATACACATAACAAATTTAAGAAAATATTGACACTTATTGTTGTGAAAACAATAGAAATAGGAATGCGATATTGTGGCATATCACAGAATAATAGTAACATTGATGGTAGGATAATCTAATAATTGATAATAGCATATAATGAGATGAACATATACAGTAAATAGGATAGTTTTATGCAGTTGAAAAGAGTTGGGGTTTGGCTTTAAGTTTTGTATTGAGAGTTTTAGAACGCTTTTTACTTTCTCTCACTTTATTCAATAAATGCTACAACTTTGTACAATTATATTATATACTCCTTGAAGTATAAACTAAGTCTACGCCACTATAGTAAAGTAATATCCAAGAGAAAAAGCCGAGTTACTTTTTCACCACGAAGAGAGACACTTGTAGTCTTAAGACGTATGTAGAGAGCGACAGTCAATAATAGATTAGCAAGTGCCTTATTTTAGGGATGTTATTGGCTTGAATAACTTGACTTAATTCAAAAAGCTGTAGCCAAAGCTTAAGCTAGGGTTTTATTGGCCATGACCTAAGCTATAGCTTATGGTACAGCTTAAATTGCAACCAATATATGGCTTAATTCATGGCTGCAGGTTAAATAATATTATATTATACCATTATCAATTTGATCGATAAATAACATTTGCATTTATATCCTATGCATCCTTATACTATATATTGTAATATGCGCGATCAGCAAGTCTGTTACTACAGTAGTACTATCGTTTCTGTATAATGTTGGTAGAAGGTAAGTATAATTTAGATAAACCCTTGAGACATATACTAATTTGGCTGATTCTCTTTTGTTGATTAACTTCTAACATTTCTATAACGAAACTCTATCAGTCACTAGGTTTTTCCCAATTCTCCTAGTCACACTCTAGTTAGTATAGTCACATGAGAATGTTATCGGCGTTTAGACAACAGGCAAAATAGAAACACTAAGTATAAGTTTATCTTTTAACAATAGTTTATTTCATAGAATCATGATGTACAAGACTCTAATTATCCTTTTTTATACTATTGTATTGCTATATATGCATCCTTTGTTTACGCTTCTACACAATTCTAGAATTTCTCGCTCACTATTTCCTACCTAGTTTTCTTACCTTAATTTCTCCACATCTCACAAAAACATAATGATTTAACACAATATCACGTTGCATGCCTGTACCGATTTTACCCATAACAATATACTAAATATTGTTATAGGAAAAATTGGAGACACAGTAATGTGATATGCTATCGTGTCAAGAAATCAGTAAGTTATGAGAAATTAGTTATTTTAAACATGTAATACAAGTGATTGATGTAGCATGTAAACAAGTAAACGTGTATAAATATAGCCAGAGGAATCACTGTCACCATCAGAAAGCAAGAGAAAAACAATAAGAGAAAGATCTATAAATGGTAAAATGAAAAAAAAAGTGAATGCGCTATCAGAGAATATGAATAAACTTTCAAAACTTACAGCAAAAATGCAAGATCTGGGAGCATTAAAGTAGTGCGATGCATCAATAAACCAGTGAAACCCTGGTCAAACAAATGAGTGCAAGATGGATCAATGCATATATGAGCAAATTAACAACTCAACTAAGATAATTAAGTGACAAGACATTCAAGCTACATTATATAATTACATTATATCAAAGACTTCTATACACTGTTGTAGATTTGTAATGAACTTATTAAAATGTACCTTAATGTTTTCATAAAGATAGTACTGCAGTTATAGTTTTAGTAAATAAACATTTCTAGTGAAGAAGTGAAAACTACAAAGTGAGTTTATCTTATTCTGTGATTCAGCATGTTTATCTAAGCCTCTAATGTAACTGAAGATTGGGTTAAAAAAGTATAATACTAAACGAATACATGAAGAATTAATAACTACAGTACACACTTATCTGCCCAACTAAATCCAGATCTATATTTACGAATAAAAGAAAAGAGTGAAACATAATGTTAAATGTGTTATTTGTAACAAAGGAATCAGATGAAGGATTATTACTGCTGCGATATCACATGACTACAAGAAGATTATACTATCTAATACATTGTTACTGGAAAGTGATACTGGTGATACAAAAAAGAAGATTTATTTTCTGTCTTATGCATGGCTTTGTAGGGAAATCGAAGATATAGTAACATGATGTGCCATTCATCACGAAATCAGTGTAATTGTGAGAAACCATGGAATATTAAGATGATTAACATATAACAAGTAAATATGTATAATAAATATTGAATTTAGTAATATTCAATAAAAGAAGAAAGATAATAACAAGAACGATTATAAAATAAAACTAAGTTTAATAAATATTTAATAAGAGAAAAAATAAGATCAAACCTATTGTTATCATTGATCACAAGTTAAATTTATAAATAATTGAGCTAAATAGTTAAATTAAATAAATGATTGAGTTAAATAAGTTATTGAGTTAAATAAGTTATTGAGTTAAATAAGTTATTGAGTTAAATAAAAGGTCAAGCTAAATAAATAATCGAGTTAGAAAAGTAAAATAATTAAATATATAAATATATAAAAATATATGAACAAGTAAAAAAAAAAATAATATACCAATAAAAACCTGTAATCTTCCAACAAAACCATAGCAATTAATACAGCAAATGCCTTAAATATCAAATTCCCAACCAACTCTTAAAATACAACAGTACAGAAAAACTCTTATGGCTCCAACTCATTTCGCACACAGGAATAGTGTGTTGTGGACCAGAACCCAAATGGTTCAAAGATTTCAACAATCCAAACAATCTCCATGGAACTTACAGTCCAGTAACAAACCCCAGTTCACTGTTTTGGTACTCACATAATTCAAATTGCATCATCAAAATACACAAAAGAAGTTGAAGTATAAATGAAAGGACAAACCTCAAAGGAAGACACTACTTGGTTGGTCCAAACAACATTCTGTCCAGATGCAATGGCTGTCCAATAGGGTCACACTCAGCTGGCTTCTGTATACTGTCATTCACAAGTCCCATAGCATTCTCACTGTGTGTAGTCTCAAATCCTAATAGCACAAGCAAACATTGACTATGCAATATAATTAGCAAATTGTCTATTACACCATAGCAAGGAGAGAACATTTTCCAATTCGTTGACAACTTTTCCATCTCCCCTCCCATATTAGCTCTCCAAAAAATTGGCTTTTGCCAACAGTACCATTTTCAACTTTATCAGAATAATATCTTCGTGAACAGTACCAAAATAATATCAACCAGTCCAGGACATCCACTAGGAGACTTTCTCCATACAATAATAGACATCTTACATTGGTGCCCGTCAAGCTGTACTATTGAAATAAGAAGTAACAGAAAAATTCTCCAAGAAGTGTCCGATTATCCAAGAAGAATGACAAAGATCAACTTCGCTCCAATATTGCTAAAAATTAACAAATTAATTCAGAACAAATCAATCAAATACAGATACACTAATCCGAAATCCAAACCAAGATTCGACAACACTCTTCAATAGTTCAATTCACCACCCTACTTTTCAGAAAGTCCATTAATTAATAATCTACAACTAGGCAGTAGTGTCAGATGGTGCAAAAAAATTCTGAGCATCACCAAAATCTACATAATTTGTGAAAGTTTTTCAGTTCTTAGGACATTCAAACATATTCACAAACCTTAAGGCCTCCAAATTATTAACAAATCAAACAAAAGAATCAAAAACTCTAGAGTTAACAAATACAGAAATCTCATCGCCTTCAGAATCAAATTGCTCTCAGGGACTCTCTCCACTAGAGAAAACCTTCACAGATTATACCCAGAAAAATATCCTGATCCATATTGTCCCTGGTATAGCTTATGCACTGAGGATATTTAATATGTCTTCAAATGTCCATTAGTATCGGAAGACATTAACCAACTTATTACTATCATCAATAACATTTTTACCCTGATAGCAACCACAAACCTATCTCACACACCTGGCAATTAGTAGAGCTGGCTTGTGAAATTATAGACAATATCTTCTTCATAACTAATTTCTCCAACTGGATCAAAGCTTCAACCAAAACCTTAGCTCATTTATACAAGTCAATTTGGATACCTCACTGCACTACAGCAAGCACCTCCCTTCTTACTGGCATAAAATAGAACAACTACTATAGCAAACCAACAAAACAAATAACCAAAAATCCAGCCAAGATCAAAACATTCAATAACAATTCCACATCAACATCAACTACTATAAACACACCTACCATTGTAGTGGACTTATATATCCAAAGTGGATTCAACTTCACCAAATACATTTCCAAATTAATTTCAGATTTCTCTAACCTTCTTCCACCTAATGGTGAGTAGGTAATCATAGCTGCTCGGAGCCACTTGACGAGATATATTGTTTTAAAAATTTCTTTTCAATATTAGTTTAGTGGTTACTGTAGGCAAGCTAGCATTTAACTCGTTATACTAATACACATGAGAGATATTGTTTCTTTTGCAATATATATCTATTATTATACAAATAAATAAAAAAATAATGTTTACTTATAGTTTCTATAGGAACTGAGTGTACTGGTATAAGGACTAGTACCTCTGTAAGGAGGTTGCGAGTTCAATACCGGGTGATGGCAGTACATATCTGTTGGACCAATTCACAGGAGTTATTGTAGTAAGCGTCAGTTGCCTGACTACCATGATACTGTCATCTATAAGGGCCAGTATAAAATATAGACAAGAAACTCGTTGTTAGATAGTCCCTGATCAGTGACAATCTGGATTCAGATTTATCATAAAAACATGAGAAACTGTCTCCTATAGGAGGCCCAGTTGAGAAAAATTATGGAATCGAATCTCATAGTAGTATTGACATCTTAGAAGTGGGGCTGATATGATCATTCTGGTAAGTATTAGTTGCCTAACTATCAGGCATATCAGAGGTGTCCATAAAAATACCTGGCGATAAGACGATTCCACACCTTCTTCTATAGGAAGAAAGTAACTCCCTCACTATAAAAATCTGTAGAGATGATCTGCAGGCTTTGACTCTATTAAACAAATGGGATCTTAATCCCAATTAATGGATGAGCAATATATCATCCCCATAAATTGCATCTAGAGACTCTTTGTCACAGATGGGTGAGCTGGGTCAAGGAAATTTATACATACAATTTATATTTGTAATGGTTCATTTTGATTTAATAAATAAATGACACCAACCTGATTAAGGGGAAAAAAAATGTTTATCTGCAAAAAAAAAAAAAAAAAAAAAAAAAAAAAAAAGGTTTATCTTAATTAAATTATTATTTAACCTGTGGGTCTATAGTGTAGTGGTTAACACTCTACAAGTCAGATCACAAGATACCAGTTCAACTCCAGGCAAAGGCAGTTGAATCAAATTAAAAATAGTATCTGGGGCCATAACCTACTAAGTTCTATTTTTCATAGAAAGTCATTTGTATGCTAATCCAGTGGGATGTTGGGATTGTAATCTTCAAGAAAGATGCAGGCGGGATGATCATCTGAAAGCAGTATGATGATCATCTGAAAGCAGTATGATGATCATCTGAAAGCAGTATGATAATCATCTGGAAGCAGTATGATGATCATCTGATAGAAGCCTGAACCAATCACATATTTGGATACACAGACTGGACTGTGCTTTATTTTAACCAACCCGAGTGATATTCCTTATTCTACTTACTTCTGAATAAGGCAACTTTGAAGAAGCATATTGAACTGACACTAATGTCTTATGTGACATGAACCCCTGACAGTTTACCGTGTTTGTAGGAATTGCGCCCTGCTTGGCATTTGTGCTCTTAGATTTGACAGCTTATGCCAACTGGCTCCTTTGAATATGTTTACTAGGAGATAGGGATCTTGGGAGCGGATGATCAAAAGCCATTCATCTGGCCTGTATAGTTCCTACAGATTCATATATCAATTGATCAAAAAAGGACTTCTAGGTTTGGTAGCTGATAGTCAACTAGAGGATAAAAAGGTTTGAAGCATTTACTAGAGAATATAGACTAACATGAAGATCTCTTTGCCACATTAGCTGTGTAAACAAAAAGGTATGTAGTAATGAGTTACTTATAAAGAATAATAAGTAATATTCCATTGTCCCCACATAAAAATTGGACCAGTAGGTTAGGTGGTTTAAACTAGTGATAGGAATTTTCTCCTTAAATAAGTCCCCCCGAAGATGTGAAAAAATACTTCAAGAGTATTAGATTAGCATTAACAGGCAATAGATAGTTGATAGGCTAGCATTAAGCTGTAGTGTAACAGTTACAGAAGATATTTGATATATTGTAATAGATATGGTTTAATATCAATAAAGACTTGTATCTAATGCTATTCAATTCAAAAAAAAAAAATAAATTAAAATAAATTATTATTTATTATAAAAAAAAACTCTCTCCTAATTATGTCCGTTTTGTTAAAAATTTTTCTTTTATGATAATTTAAGCAAGAAAAAATATTTTACTATCTTTATTACAAGTAAACTCCAGCTCAGAAACCCAAGAACCTTCAAGACAACTGGTGCAGTAGGATGTTGAAGTTTACTTAAGTTTGGATGTCTTGCTTATTCTTTGGTTATATGAAAAAAAAACCATGGCAGTTCTCTTTTCTTCAGTTTTCTTGCATCTCTTCTTATCTTATTCTATTATAAAAATCATTCATATTTTCACCATTATACTTGCTAAACCAAATACTTTTCAAAATATACACTCAAACAGAGTTAGTAAATCTATTGTTTATTTTAAATCAACTTTTATACATAATATTTTCGTAGCAATATTTGCTATATCATTTTCAACCTCCAAAAATTTTTCACTCAAAAAACTGAAATCAGTTTACCTTCTCCAGATAATCAGTGCTCTTCAATCATTCAATTAGATTTTGCCTAATGATCAAAGCAAAAATTAAACAAGTTTAAACTGGTTTTGTATCACAATAATGATCATAATAACAACAACAAATATCTCATTACCAACAACTATAGCAACAAACAACATCATATGCACTCTATTATCTATAGCATCCAGAAGGACAGAAAGTTGGAATCATGAGCTTACCAAGAAGTTCTTTTATTATATGCATAGATTTTATAGTATATTTGATTTAGTTTTAATTATAGTTACTTTTATTTTTATTTTTAATTTTTTATATTTAAAAAATTAAAGAATTTACAAAATTTCCTGAAATAGTAGGCATAGCTACTACTCAGCCTTATTTAGTACATTAATATTGATTTTAAATTTTTTTATGATATTAGTTAGATATTAATAAATAGACAGGCTAACATTTAACTTTCTTGAAATAATAAAAGAGATGTTATTTCTTTCACAAATGTATATCTTGTTATATACAATATCAAATAAAAAAATAATATTTACCTATTGGAGAAACCCCTTCAAAAAAATAAAATAAATTATTATTTATTAAATTATAATAAAAAATATTAGTATAATTATTTTTGTTTCATACTGTATATGTTAGATAAAAAAAATTATTCTGATTATTTTTACTATTTTTAGGATTTTAGTTATTCTAATTATTTCTAAAATTATTAGAATAACAAAAATTACCAAGATCTTTAAAATTTTAAGGATTCTAGAAATTTCTGGAATTTATAATTATCATGTAATATAATTGGCATTAATCTTGACCTTCATAATATTAAAAAAAAAATGTTTATTTTCTTAAGTATCTTTACTAATTAATTATTGTCAAGTACCTATCTCAATTCTCCTATATTTTTTATTATTCTCAGGTTACTTATATATATTTTTACTTTATATCTTTATATCTATTATATTAATATACCTATTATATCTATTATATCTATTATACCTAATAAATTTATTATACTTATTTGTGATTTTTTATTATTTTTGTCTTGCTTTTTTCTTATAACGCTATATATAAAATAAAATTTAATTATAACCACATGTCAATATAGATCATGTAATCGAAAATGGTATTAATTGAAGCATTTTTCTAATTCTTTGTTTTGACAAGTAATAGAAAAGTGTTTATGTTCTTATATCAAATTCTTAATTAAGATAATATCACGCCATATTCTTTCATAACTACAGTATATGAATAATTATTTTGAGCCCTATAACTGTGACACTGCAACATATATTTATTATTTAAAAAATTAGGGTCAGAAGTTTTATTTAACATTTCGTCGCCTTCAAAGATAATTACTCATATATGCTTTACATAACCAATTTTAGAACTAAGAAATTAATGAAAATTCTCTGCAATGTGTCACAAATTAAAACTGACTTATCATTGTTTTCTTAAAACGAGGTTCGATTGAAAAATCATACATGCCTAATTAAACATTGTGTAACAAAATCACAAAATGTTCTTAATTCATTTAAGAAATTTCGTCAAATTGCAAATAACAGCTACATCGTTAGATATCGCAGCAGTGAACACTATGCATTGCAATTTATGTACATTGGCGAATGCCATATGACAATATTTCCTGGATAGCTAATTATCAACAGAAAGATTAAACAACAAATTAAGGAAAGAAGAAAATATCATTACTATCAACCACGAAAAAGCATTTGGATCGAAAATAAAAAAAATGTATATATACAACTAGAAATTTTCTCAATCCAAATTATGGTCTTACGCTAACAAGCCAAATCTTTCCAGAGAAAATTTTTAATTGCAAAAAAATTTACACCACTATATTATATTTAATTCGTCAAAGTTCATTTGTAAAAATGAAATTCTCTACCCTCTTATCCAACTTTTTTGTCATTGCCTTGATGTTTCTAACGATTATTACCATATCCGAATCCGCACCTTTGTCCGACGAAATCATTGAGCCGAGAGTTTGTAGTATGTTTTCTTTTTCTACCTAGGTTCAATTTTTAATAGTCGTCTTTTCTTATTTCATTCCATTTATTCATAATTATAGGCATCGGTTGTACTGGAAGACAATCAAGTTATGCTCGTCCACAGTCAGGTTCTGGCGTATCATACTAATAATTAAATATAGAACTGTACTTGTCGGTTATACATGATGTTATTTAATAATTATATTCGGACAAATTTTTTTAGAAATACTTTAATAGCAATATTATGAAAATTTTATAGTTTATTTATTTACAGCATTTCCAATTTATTGTTTTTTGTTGAAATAATTGCGTCTAAAGACGATTCAGATTTTTTTTTTTTGATCTCTTAATATATGATTATTGTTTAAAGTGGAACCTAGAATTAGTAAAAATTACATTTATTCATGTTAATTAAACCAGAATTATTATAATATACAGTATATATTAATCTATATTTCTTTTTTTTTTAATAAAAAAGGATCAATTAGTTAAGTAGTTATTCAAAATACAATTTTTAAAAAAACTTTGCTACTCGAATAGCTTCTGATATAAGAAAATAAACAATTTCGTTCAATTATAGATCTTATATTAAACTCATTATATGAATTATAACTTGTATGTATTTATTATATATTAAATATAAATATAGGTTTTTTTTTTGTTAAGATATTTCTCATGGTCTTTATTAATATAATAAAGATTTCTTGTTACATGATTAATATTAAGATACAAATATACAGTATATTGTTACATATGTCAATATACCATTATTTAAGTATATTTCTAAAAATATCTTAAAACAAGAAAAAAAGTAAACTATTTAATTTTAAAAAGTAATATCTTCTTAATAATTTATTTTATTCAATATTTTATATTAAGCTATATATTATATATATATATATTTTTTTAAGAAGCAAATGGCTACCATGCTTTATTTTATTAATTATAAATTTGATAATTGTATATATTTAAAAATATTTATTAATAATTAAAGTAATTTGTTTTTTTTTAAAAAAAGTAAATGGCTATCATGTTTTATTTTATTACAATTTATATTATATATGTATTGTTTAAAAGTTGGATCCAAAAAAATCATATCTAGCATTTTGTTACCTTCAAAAATAATTACTCATAATTTTTATATTCTTCTTATTTTTTCAAATTTCTTGTTATAATTAAGTGTTTTTTTTTACTTGAAGTTTTTTTCTCTCTAGATCTCTACTTCTTTTCAAAATATCTTTTTTTATTTTATCACCTCTCTGGTTAATTGACTTTCTTTCTTTAAGAATTATATTAAGAAGTAACAAGTTCTTTCAAAATATAAACTTTGGAAATTTTTTTTTCCATAGTTTTTTAGAAAAAAGTCAGATAGTTTATTTTCTTTAAAAGATTAACATAATTATTATTATCAAATTTGATATTGTTTATTTACTAATAATAAAATTAGATACATCTAAAAAGCCTTTATACAATTATTATTATTTGACCTTTTTGAAATTGTATTTTATAGTATTTAATGATATGTAAGGATTCTAATAATTCAATTTGATTCAAATTTTAATTCTCAGATTTATATTAAAGTTAATATGTAAGTTATAATCCACTATTATTTTTAATAATATTTCAAATCTTATGCAGTTTGTGTAAATCTGTTCAATTTCAATTTTTGAAACTATAGTAATGTAATAGTCAATATCAATGTAAAGAAATCTATATATATTATACTAATAGATAAAGTATTTAATAAAATAATATATAATAATTAAGGATCTAATTACTTTTACAAAAAAGCTAATATTAATAATACAAGTTTCTTATATATCTCTTAACAATATAAGTTTACTATACAAAATCAGATTTTAATATCTATAAGAATAAATATAATTTTTATATTTAATTCTTTTTATATAAGAAATCAATTATTCAATTATTAACTTTTGTTCTATTTCAAATCTTATAATATAATATTATTTAATTGCTTAAATAATTTATTTTCTAGTTCTTATTTTCTATATTACTGGAATAATTATAAAATTAATTGTTTTTTTTTCTAATTTTAAGTTTTAATAAATGAATAAAATATAAATATTAGATATATTAAATAAATATTAATTTTACTTTAATAAAAATACTACATATAACATTATTTAAGTACTTTAATAAATTATCTATCTTGAGTTTGAAATAGTTCAAAACTGATATTTTATTGAAATTTTTATTATTTCATATGATATGATCTTGTATATTATTATTTAAATAATATGATCTTATATATTATTATTTAAATAATATATTAGTTTTAAAATTTCTTTTTTAATATAGTTTAAATAATTATTTTAATAAGTTAATATTTAACTTATATAAATTAAGAAATATAGATTCTTATACAAAATATATCTTAAATAGTATATATAAAATAAAAAATTAATACTTATAAAAAAATTTTATAATATCAATAATATAATATATATATATCTTATAAATAAGTTATAAAAACTCTTTCCGCTGATCCTTTTGCCAACCCAAAAAACAGACGTTCTCAAAAGATTTTTGTCTTTATGATAA